GGCAGTTGCTTAACCGAATGAGTCACCCAGGTGCCCCAAGGCAATTAATCTGAAGATCAACAAACCAGCTGTAAATTGTATATTTGAATTTATTTTAAAAGCCTTAGCATAAGTTAAGAATTGGAAAATTTCTTTAGCCTTTAGCAAGCTACACTGTAATTCTAATCATTGTTTTAATATTTTCCAATTATCTATAACTGACAGACCAAGTTAATTGGTTTTGCATCCCATTTAATCCATCAGTATTTTCAAGCCATGAGGAATGCCCAAAGTAAGCACAATAAAAGGAACACGTGCACAATAATGTCCTACTTGTCTTCTTGAGAAGTCTCTGATTTCTGTGTACTTAGCTCAAATCAAACTTGCTTTGTATTACAAGTGAATTGCATCTCTACTAGCTTGGTTTTTCCTACATCTTTAACAAGAAGTGTTCCTCATAGATTTTCTCCAGGAAGCTAGCTCTACTATAAGCTTCCCACTGTGACTTTGTTACTATTTTGAAAATTATTAAATTATTAAAAATTATTAAACAGCCACATCTATTAAACAGTCATCTTCATTGTTGGCCACTCCAACATATGTCTGGTTTTAGAAACCTTAGTTTCTCTAAGCAGTGCCTCGTGCATATGTAATAGTACTTTTTGGTGCCAGAGCATTCAGTCTTATTTCTGTTACCATGTCCTACCACTTTCTTCCTCCCATGCCATCACATAATGAGCCTCAAAGCCCCCATCCATTTGTTAGAGACAACTACAGATAAAATCACTGTTAAAATCTTGCTACTTCATAGACTGATTTTTATTGTTATGTTAACCACCATACATTACATCATTAGTTTTTGATGTAGGGTTCCATGATTCATTGTTTGTGTATAACACCCAGTGCTCCATGCAGAACGTGCCTTCTTTAATACCCATCACCAAGCTAACCCATCCTCCCACCCCTTTTTTAAAATTTATTGTTATGTTAATCACCATACATTACATCATTAGTTTTTGATGTAGTCATAGACTGATTTCTAAAAAGGTGTTTCTTCCTCCTGAGTCTGTGAAATTTTATCCTTCAAATTTTTCTTTGTGTTGAAATTCTAACATGAATCCTGGATAGCTCTCTAGGGTACAATGAGGCCCAGAGAAAGGCATTTTGTCTATTTTGAAAACAAACATGTGACCCCTGACAATTCTTTTTCTAAATACCGACTTTCTGGAGAAATCAGTATGTCAGTTATTGTACATGAATGGTTGGTGAAATATGCAAATGACATCACATATGCAGCCTTGTTTGATCATTTCCTCTGGTCTATACTGTTTTTTGTTTCTTTTTTTTAAAGATTTTATTTATTTGAGAGAGCGAGAGAGAGAAACAGCATGAGAGGGGAGAGGGTCAGAGGGAGAAGCAGGCTCCCCGCTGAGCCGGGAGCCCGATGTGGGACTCGATCCCAGGACTCCGGGACCATGACCTGAGCCAAAGGCAGTCGCTCAATCAACTGAGCCACCCAGGCACCCCCTCTGGTCTATACTGTTATTAAAAGCATACTATATTATAGGCCTATTCAAATATTTTAAATACAGATAAGTATTGTTTCCATAAGATAAACTTAAGAAATATATTTAGATAATATACGCATTACTTGGAAAACTCTGCTTTGACACTGACAAAGTCTAAATTAATTAACAAATGTATCCCAGTGAGCAATAAATCAATGGAACATTCCAAGAAGAGAGAAGGACACTTAAAATGGAAATAGTTCTCCAAAAGTATACAATTTGGAGTTCAACTAGTGGGTATGTTACCAATATCCAACCTTCTGACCTAATTTGAAATTCTTACATTCAACTTTTAAGAGTTCTTAATTTATAACTGATTTTTAAATGAGAAGTTTCTCTTGTGTTTGAGAGTTTGAGAGTAATCATTTACTAGAAAATGCAATGTGGGGGCCCCTGGGTGGCTCAGTTGGTTAACTTGATTTTGGCACAGGTCATGATCTCGGGGTCATGAGATCAAGCCCCACATCAGGCTCCACATTGGGTGTGGAGCCTGCTTAAGAGTCTCTCTCTCCCTCACTCCCCATCTCTCTAAAATAAAAAAATAAAAAATGCAATGTGGTTTATGCAAGCAAAACAGCCTGGTATTACTCTTGGCCGGCTCCTTGAGGGTAGTGCAGACTGGCAGTGTGGGCAGGTGTAGCCACTTAAGTCCTGTCAAGACATAGTCATGCCCTCACATATTTCACTACCCAAGAATTTAGTAACAGTGAAAATTCCATGTTCCTATTCTGATACTCAGAAGTGCCTGATGATGCTGATGTACTTACAAACACAGGAACAATCTCTGCTATTATTGTACAAAGCCATAAGAGTATATTAATTATGTTTAAAAAGAAAAAAGTAAAACTGTCACTATTTGCAAATGACATGATAGCACATATACACACACACATATATATATACACACACACACACACACGTATCACCCTAAAGAGTCCACCAAAAACCTACTAGCAGTAATAGATGAATTCAGTAAAGTTGCAGGATATGAATATAAAAATCTGTTGCATTTCTATAGACTAATAATGAACTAGAAGAAAGAAAAATGAAAAAACAATCCCATTTACAATTACACCAAAAAGGATAAAATACTTAGGAATAAACTTAACCAAGGAGGTGAAAGACCTATACTCTGAACCCTATAAGACACTGATGAAGAAACTGAAGATGACACAAAAAATGGAAAGATATTCCATGCTTGTGGATTAGAAGAACTGTTAAAATATCCACACTATCCACAGTAATCCCTATCAAAATACTAAATAGTAATTTTTCACAGAACTGGAACAAAGAATCCTAACATTTATATGGACTCACAAAAGACCCCAAATAGCCAAAACTATCTATCTATCTATCTATTATTTAAGTAATCTCTGCACCCAATGTGGGGCCTGAACTCATGACCCCACGATCAAGAGTCACACACTCTACCAGTTGAGCCAGGCCAGGCACCCTTAGCCAAGACAATCTTGAGAAAGAAGAATGAAGCTGGAGGTATCACAATGCCAGATTTCACACTCTATCATAAAGCTACAGTAATCAAAGCAGTATGGTACTGGCACAAAAACAGACATATATATCAATGGAACAGAATGGACAGCCCAGAAATAAACCCACTCTTACATGGTCAATTAATCTATGACAAAGGTGACAAGAATATACAATGAAGAAAAGACAGTCTCTTCAATAAATGATGTTAAGAAAACTGGACAGCAAAAGAATGAAACTGGCCCGCTTTCTTACATCATACATAAAAATAAACTAAAAATGGATTAAAGATGTACATGTGTATTCTGAAACCATAAAACTCTTAAAAGAAAACACAGACAATAATATCTTGGACATTAGTCTTAGAAATATTTTTCTGGATCTATCTCCTCAGGCAAGGAAAACAAAAGCAAAAAGAAAAACTATTAGGATTACATCAAACTAAAAAGCTTCTGCACAGGGAAAAAAAAAAAAAAATCAACAAAACCAAAAGCAATCTACTGAATGGGAGAAGATATTTACAAATGATATAGCCAATAAGGAGTTAATATCCAAAATATATAAAGAACTTACACAACACCAAAAAAACCCAAATAATCCCATTAAAAAATAGGCAAAAGACCTGAAATCAACATTTTTCCAAAGAAGACATACAGATGGCCAACAGATACATAAAAAGATACTCAACATCAATAATCATTGAGAAAATGCAAATTAAAATAACAATGAGATAGCACCTTACACCTGTCAGAAGGACTAGAGTCAAAAAGATAAGAAATAGGGGTGCCTGGGTGGCTCAGTCGTTAAGCGTCTGCCTTCAGCTCAGGTCATGATCCCAGGGTCCTGGGATCGAGCCCCGCATCGGGCTCCCTGCTCCGCGGGAAGCCTGCTTCTCCCTCTCCCATTCCCCCTGCTTGTATTCCCTCTCTCGCTGTGTCTCTGTCTGTCAAATAAATCAATAAAATCTTTAAAAAAAAAAAAAGAAATAACAAGTGTTAGCAAGAATGTGAAGAAAAGGAAACCCTTGGGCACCACTGGTGGGAAGGCAAACTGGAACAGCCACTATGGAAAACAGGACAGAAGATCCTCAATAAATTAAAAATACAAATACCATATAACCCAGTAATTCTACTTCTAGTTATCTGTACAGAGAAAACAAAAATACTAATTCATAAAATATATGCCCCCCTATGTTTAACATAGTATTATTTACAATAGCCAAGAAATGGAAATAACCTAAATGTGCATCCATGAGAGATGAATGGATAAAGAAGAGGTGATATATACACACAATGGAATATTACTCAACCATAAAAAAGAATGAAATCTTCTTGCCACTAAGTGGCAAGTATTATGCTAAGTGAGTAAGAGAGTGAAAAAGACAAATAACATGAGTTCACTTGTACATGGAATCTTAAAAACAAAATGAACCAACAAAAACAAACAGACTCGGGGCGCCTGGGTGGCTCAGTCATTAGGCGTCTGCCTTCGGCTCAGGTCATGATCCCAGGGTCTGGGATCGAGCCCCGCGTCGGGCTCCCTGCTCAGCGGGAAGCCTGCTTCTCCCTTTCCCACTCCCCCTGCTTGTGTTCCCTCTCTCACTGTGTCTTTCTCAAATAAATAAAATCTTTAAAAAAAAAAAAAAACAGAAACAGACTCATAAATACAGAGAACTAATGGTTACCAGAAGGGAGAGGGATGGAGGAACAGGCAAAATAGGTGAAGAGGATTAAGAGGTACAAGCTTCCAATCATAAATAAGTTGCAGGGATGGAAAGTACAGCATAAGGGATAGTCAGTAATATTGTAATAACTTTATATAGTGACAGATGGTAGCTATACCTATCATGGTAAACATTTCGTGATATATGTAACTTTTGAATCACTGTATTGTACACCTGAAACAACATAATATTGTATGTCAACTATACTTCAATTTTTAAAGAAAGAAAAAGTTTTCACTGACCTGGTGCAACTACATTCACTCTAATTTTCTTTCTTGCTACTTCTTTAGCAAGAGCGCGTGAAAATCCAACTACTCCTCCTTTACCTGCACTGTACACAGACTGGCCAGAATTGCCTTTTAAACCAGTAATACTTCCTAGAAAAAATAAAACAAAAGTAAATTCAAACCAACTAATGGGCTATTTGAATATTTAGATAATGTACAGTAAACAAACAAGGCACAAACCATTTTACCTTGTCCTTTACTAAAATTGGGAATTCTAACCACTATCATTTCAGTAGTAAGACTTAGGGTCTGAGTCTGCTCCAGATATAAACAGAAAACAGGTTCTGAAAGAAGCTTATGTAAAACCTCAAATGTCAGGCAGGGACTTGAGAACTGATCCATTAAATGAAAGAAACCCACTCTCATCTCTGAGTACGTCAGACATGGTTAAAGTCCTACAGTATTTATCAAGTCTTCTAGTAGGAAGAGGTTAAAACCAGAAAAAGTCAGATAAACGCTGATTAATTTTATGGTTCTACAACACAGAGATGAGGAGGTATTCATTTCCACCAAAAAAATAGTTCATCTGAAGATAAATCTCACTAAATTTGAACTACCATCAATCAAAATTAACAAAGGTTCAATTATAAACTTTTTGTAAAACTGCAATTTAGTAACTTCAATGATGTATCATAACTTGTACTGACTACTAAAGATTCTTGGGTGGTCTCATTTATATGAATATGAAAGAATAATTTCTAATTCAAGTATCAACTGTATGCAAATAAATTCTTGCAAAACAGAAATGGGGAAGTGATTTTCTGCACCAGTGATCTCTACTTACGATATAAAAATTAATCAAGAACTTCACAAAACCTTTGAAAAAGTAATTTTATTTTAGGAAAACATCCCAAACACTTTTTACATTATAGTCAACAAGTCCAATATTAAAATATCTGCCTTATATATTAAATGCCAGTGAATGACAGAGGAAGAGAACTGTGAAGCACAGAGAGAGAAAAGAAATATCAGACAGAGAAAACGCAGATAGACAGAAAAAGGGGAACCGGGGAGAAAGAGAAATCCAGAGAGACACAAAAAAGAAAGAAAAATATGGGCATGGAAGAAAGGCCAAATAGGAAGCTTTAGTTCATGCCACACACTATTGTCCATCTAGTCAATAACTGTTAACTTCTGAAATAATCAATGAACTTTCTAGCAGGTTAAAGTAGTCCTTTCTGTAAAAAGATTCTCTGGTTTTTAATTATTTTTATTTACTTTTAGCACAATTCTAAAAGCTTTGCATGTACACAAAGGACTGACGTGGGTTTTTAAAATATATCTAAAAAGGGGTATTTTAGAGTTAAACAAATATACCCACATTATCAGGTGATCTACAGAGGCCAGTATACCAGCTTCTGAGAACCCAAAATCATTACCTGGCTATGTTAGAAGGCAAAGGTCGACTAATCTTTTTTTTTTTAAGATTTTATTTATTTATTTGACAGAGAGTTAGCAAGACCAGGAACACATGCAGCGGGTGTGGGAGAGGGAGAAGCAGGCTTCCCACGGAGCAGGGAGCCTGATGCGGGGCGATCCCAGGACCCTGGGAACATGACCTGAGCCGAAAGCAGACGCTTAACGACTGAGCCACCCAGGTGCTCCTAATCTTTTACTTTTTAATCATTTACTAATCTTTTTTAAGAAAACTCATTTCTTACATTTTTAAGAGTAAATGTCAAAAATGTTCTAATTCTTATTAGCACAGTATTCTTTTCTCATTTTCAAAAGAGAAAAACACTACATTTGGCTTGGAAAGCCATTTCCTATATTAAACAACAGGGTCATTTACTTTAACAGAGCACCATTCCCCTTATGTGGCTTTTTAAAATATTACCATTTAAAATTAAAAGACAGATGATATGCTGCTATTTTCAAATTACCAAACTGAAATAGAATTGTAAGTCATTTTGCATTTTAAGGTCTACAAGCACATACTACATGGTTTATCTACCCCATGGGTCAGATGAACTGAAGACTAGGGGTTACTTACATTCATTCTAAAAAATTGAAAAGATTATTCCCTTAAGAAAACTTCCTCCTAAACCTCTGTATTAGATTTATTAGAGACACATGCAACAGCAGCTGTAGAGATCATTTAGTCCCCACCAAAAATTTTTCAATTCCTTATCCGTATTTTTTTTTTTAAGATTTTATTTATTTATCTGACAGAGAGAGACACAGCAAGAGAGGGAACAGAAGCAGGCTTCCCGCGGAGCAGGGAGCCTGATGCGGGGCTCGATCCCAGGACCCTGGGATCATGACCTGAGCCGAAGGCAGACGCCTAACGACTGAGCCACCCAGGTGCCCCCCTTATCCGTATTTTAAAAATCAGGTGTCACATGCAAATCAGGATGTCCAATTTCTCTTAAAATGTCAAATGGCTGGCAAAATGGAGACCAGATCTGTGCATAGCAGCAATCCACTGGATCCAAGCGGCGGCTGCCACTCCACATGGCTTCTGGACACCAAAGCTAGGCATCATTTGTCATATATCAAATTTTTCTAATACCTGGTGGTATCATTCAATTAACATCTGCTTGACCACTAGAGAGATGTGAATTTGTGATTCCTATTCTACCCAGTAATTGGTTAATCAAGTCATTTTTCCATAGATAGTAAAAAGACCCATTTCATGGGCGCCTGGGTGGCTCAGTTGGTTAAGCAACTGCCTTCGGCTCAGGTCATGATCCCGGAGTCCCTGGATCGAGTCCCGCATCAGGCTCCCTGCTTGGCAGTGAGTCTGCTTCTCCCTCTGACCCTCCTCCCTCTCATGTGCTCTCTCTCATTCTCTCTCTTTCAAATAAATAAATAAAATCTTAAAAAAAAAAAAGACCCATTTCATTTAAGTTTCACACATGAATAAACTCTAAATTAGTCAATTAAATATTTTTATGGCACTATGAGATAAGTCTAATTTCACAGGTGAAGACTCACCTACATTAACAATAGACCCTCTCTGCTGTTGAATCATAGTCTTCAAGGCAACTTTACAAGTCAGCATGGAACCCAAGAGGTTAGTATGAAGCTGAGATATCATATCTTCAGTTTTTGTTCTTACTAAAAGGCTATCCCTACAAAAAACCAAAAAACAGTAGCATATAAATAAAAAATGGGATAAAAACAAATTCAGAAAGTCAAGAAATATATAACATTTTAACTGAAAATAGAGTATTAGGAATAGAGGTGAGCTAGAATACCTACAGAGTCCCATTTTAAACTTGATTTGAGGGGCATTAAAATAACTGATAAACCAGAACAGATATACCCAGAAGCAGGGTTGAGGGGCAAATATTCCTAACTGCTAAAAGTAATGCTATGCAGCCAAAATAGCTTGAATGAACTGAGCAACTGCCATTACAGTAAGCCCTGTTTAGCAAGAAAATATACTATTCTAATTATTATCCTAAATTCATCTTTTAAAAAGAAAAGAATACCTACTCTAATACCATTAAGTTATGAACTTATACAATGGTGACAGAAGTCAGAATAGTGGTTACCTGTAAGGTAGTATTCACTGGGAAGAAACTGAAGAGAGCCTTCTGGAGTGCTAGAAAAGTTCTATAGCTCAATACGGGTGTGACTGCAATGTTAAAATTGATCGAACTGTACCCTTACTGATATCTCAATATAAAAGGAAAGAATGTATAGATAGATCAAATTTTAAAATATTTTTTTTAAATACATACTTTCTTCCAATTAGAAGTACAGCAAGTTAATAGATTTACTCATACCAATCAAAAACATATTAGAAAAAAAAAAATACGGGAAATGTACTTAAATTTGTGACCAACCTGTTAATTCCAGCTGCGTTTACCAAGAAATTAACTCGACCTAAATTTTTTTCCATCTCTTCAAATGTATTTTGAACATCACGTTCTTTGGCAACATCACAGCTAAATGCTAAATGATCTCCTATACAACAAAATTAAATTAGCATTACTTATAAATTATAACTTCAATTTAAAAATTATTCAATACACGTTTCTTAAGCATCTACTATGAGCTAAGCCTGTGATTATTAGAACCTAGAGATAAAAGATTATGTCACGGATTCTTGCTCTCAAGGAGTTCAGTCCAATAAAACTGAGATGGGGGTGGATGGGGAGTAAGAAGTAAAGTAATACTACAGAATTAAATCTTAAAACTTTTTTTTATCAAGAAAAAATGGGAGGAGGGCCTTTTCGTGTTCATAAGGCTTTGTAAGATTCATCCAATAATATTTCTGGCTTTGACGGTGATCCCATGCTACTCGATTCAACAGTGTTCTGGGTTTTATTTTTTTTTTTTGAATTTATGTCTAATTCTGTTAGGTTTTTGTTAAATTGGTTTCCTAGTCCTGAGAATAAACCCTAGGGGTCTTGTACTTTTTTTTTTTTTTTAACTATGGCACATATATTACAATAACTATTATTCAAGCCTGACCATTATAAAGCAGGAAGCTATAAAAAGAAAAAAAAATGCCAAAACTAAAAAACACACACAAAAAACCTTTACTAAAAACTTACTTCCCCTTTTTAAAATGCCCACTTTTTAAAGATGTTTAAATACCAAAAGAATACATGTCAAAGAAAGCATTTTCCATTCAGTAATACATCATTTTAATACTCTAAATGTAGATTTTTTTTTGAAAACTAAACAATTGCTTATTTTCTGGCTGACCTCGCCTAGTAGTTAACACTAAAATTACAACCTCATGCCTTTGGAAACAGTAAGCTTTCTGGGAAGTCACACTTTGTAGGTGAAAACCAATTGCTTATGGAACACATAATTCAAGGAAGTAAAAGGCCCAAAAGACTCCTCTGTGACCCACTGTCGATTTTCATCTGAAAACTTGTTGGGTTCACAATAACCCTCGAAGCTCAACCAAAAGTTTTAATCTACTCCAGCAAACACTAATGGCTTGGGATGACCCCCAAAAGGAAAATCACTTTCTCACTCCTTTGTGACAGTAACATAATCGAAGTGAATATGAGCAGGAAGCAGCATTCACTGAAATTCTCCCTGCTCTGTAACTCCTGTTTTTTTTCTCTCTAAACAGAGCCTAATATTTTCCCAACCCATGTGCACAATTAGAGTGAACCAATAAGTAACGTTGAAGGATACAGCTTCCAAATGCATATCCAGCCTCTTCCCAATGCCTCCTTGATAATGAAGTGCATTTGCGCCTTCCAGTAACTAAATTGCAGCATCTCAGCATTTTTCGTTCATCGTAATTCTCCCTACCATCAAGGGACTTAAATTTGCAAAATAATGCAAAACAATTACTAACCCATTATTAATAAACAAACAAAAAAAATTGGATTTTAAATGCAGTAAAAAGGAATCTGAAAATCTCAATTCTCCATTTGTAAAAGCCACCAAAACAATTTAATAACCTATTAAGTGGTTATGGATGTAGGAGAGCCAAAACAAGTGTATCTCAAAACCGGCTGGTACTCAAAAGAGTTTGTCTATGAAACACTGCTTTGTGCATTCGCACAGGGGCCAAAACAGCCCTCAAAAAAACTACAGCGAGCCTTTCAGGCCTGACACGCCTACCCTTCCTGCTTTTCCGCCCAGCCCTGTCTCCCGGCGGCGCCCCGGGACCTCGCGGCACAAGGGAACCCTTTACCCTGCATAAAAAGTTAACTGTTGTGTGTCTCCCTCCTTCCAGACACCAAAACAAAACAACGCAACATCGTTAGCACTAGCCTCAGGGGGGTAGGTGTTTAATTAATGGGGCCTCACAAGACTGCTAAGACTCAAAGAAAACCCCAAGCGTTCAGCTCTTGGCGGCAGGCAGCGTGGCAGGGGATGCTCTGCGGGGAACCGGGTGTTAAGGGGTTATCTGCCCAAACTGGTGTCCACACTCAGGACGGGGTGCTCCTAAACGCGGGTAGCTAAATTGCTAAACCTCAGAGCCGTAAAGGCCAGACCCTCTCGTTTTCAAACGAAGAAACTTGAGGCTCTCAGGACTGCAGCCACACAACTTGGACGACTCCAGTTCGGTACCTACCGCCGAGCTCACCGGCGGCGGCTTTGGCCACTTCCAGATTTCTGGCGATGATGGCCAGTCGGTAGCCTTTTTGGGCCATTAACTCGGCCACTGCCCTCCCAATGCCCCTGGAGCCTCCGAAAACAGCACAGACTTTGTCCATTTTGCCCCGGGGAGTCGCAAACTCGGGAGGAAAGAGGGCTAGGAGTGGTGGCTCCTTTCCAGATTCTCTCTGGCTTTTAAACCACAGAGTCTCCTAAAAAAACGCAAACCGCCGAAGGAAAAAAAAAAAAGAAAAAGAAAAAGAAAAAGAGAAAGAAGGAAAGCACCGCAACCTTCTGCCGCCGGACTTCAGCAACCCAGTAGGCGGGGAAGAGGCGCGAAGAGTACGACGTCTACGCAACGACGTCAACGCGCACAGACTACCAGGCCCAGCGCCTTACGGGAGACGAGGGCGTGAAAGAGCCCGGGCGGCCGAGGACTGGCCTAGAAGGGCTGCGCTGCATGCTGGGACTTGTAGTCTTCACGCGGGAGAGGAAGAGGCGTGGGCTCACTGCTCAGTGGGAAATGTACTCAAGGCAATGAAGGAGGGTCAAGGTGACCTCCATACCCCTTGGGACGTGAGAGTCAGAATTAGAGTTCAGATGACCTACCATTCCAGTGTCCCTGGAACTAATGGGGTTAAGACGGTGGGCTTAACGTTTTAAAATCGTAACAGTCCCGTCAACCGAGATAAATTGATTATGGTAGTTAAAACCCAGAATATACATTATTCAGAGTTCCATTGTCTGCCTTACATCCAGGAATTGTTTTTTGACTAAAGACTAAATGCCCTGCCTATTGAAGAAGTGATCCCCAAGTACCAGACTCACGCAAAAGCTATCCTACCTGTCCCTCCCCCAAGTTGCAACGGAAATAGACCTCACCCCATCTGGATATTACCATTCATCCCAAGTGTGTTGCAAAGGCAGCTGCCTATCAAGAACACCATATATAACAGGAACTCAAGAAACGTTAGTTGAGTGATTGAATTGTCTTGCAGGATCGATGAAACAAGCATGGATGCTGCAAACAAAAACAGGTTCCTACAGTTCTAAAGAGAACGTGCTCAGTATTCTGAGAGTTAAGCTAAAAGTTGAGCATTTGTTAACAAGGATACTATTAAAAGGAAGCATTTCTTGATAGAGTATAACTGCATTAGATGATTCAAAAAAGTAGAAGTTTCATGGGTCCTTCTACTAAAAAATATACAACCTGGGACAACAGGAGCAATACACACAAACACTAACAAGTAGTCTGAAACCCTAAAGTGAAAAATGATATTAACACAAGAGCTCAGAGAAAAGGGAGGGAGGTCAATGAAAAAAATACAGGAGTGCTTGGAAAAGCTGGATTGGAGGACTGGATGCAGTCTGAATAAAAGGAGAAGAGAAAGAAAGGAAGGAAGAAAGGAAAGGAAAGAAGGAAAGTAGGAAGGAAGGAAGGAAGGAAGGAGAAAAAGAAAGAGAAAGAAAATATAAGCAAATCGGCTGTTTTTAAATTATTTTTATTTCACCTAGATCCAAAGGGATTTGAAATGGCTTGCAAAGATAACACAAGTAAAACTTCACACTCTTTAGGATGGCTCCTATCAATAACAACAACAAAAAGAAAGACAATGACAAGTGTTAATGAGGACATGGAAAAACTGGCACCCTTCTGCACTTTTGGTGGGAATGTAAACTGGTACAATAGCTTTGGAAAACAGAATGGTGTTTCCGCAAAAGAATGAAAAATAGAATTACCATATAATCCAGTAATTCCATTTCGGGGTATATACGCAAAAGATTGAAGGCAGAAGCAGGAAATCAGGTGATATTTGTATACCCAGGTTCATAGCAGCATTATTCATAATAGCTAAAAGGTGGAAGCAACCCAAAGGACCTTCAACAGATGGTGGATAAGCAAAATGTGGTACCCACACACAATGGAATAATCTTCAGCCTTAAAAAGGGAAGAAATTCTACAATATGCTACCACATAGATGAACCTTGAGGATATTATGCTAAACGAAATAAACATGTTACAAAAAAACAAATACTGTATAATTTCACTTATTTGAGGAAGTTAGAATAGTCACAATCATAGAGACAGAAAGCCGAATGGTGATTGCCAGAAGCTGGGGGTGGGAGGGATGGAGAATTATTGTTTAAAGGGTATAATGTTTCAGTTTTGTAACATGAAAAGTTCCTGAGAGGTTTTGGTGGTGATGGTTGCATAATATGACTGTGCTTAATAGTACTGAGCTGTACAGCTAAAATGGTTAAGATAGTAAAATATATGTTGTGTGTATTTTACTGCAATTTCTAAAATTGGAAGAAAAAACCTCAGCAATACAAATATTAACAATGACAACAAGAACACTGAATGCAGTTTAAGATTTCTTAATGGAGTTTGTCCCTAAAGTATACAGCAATATTGTCAAAATACTGTGATTTAAGAGCTCTTTAAACATTTCTTCTCTGAAGAATTACATCAAAAACCTGGTACCAGATTGTTTACAATTTTTAGAAATTGTTATATTTTTATCATTTTTATTTAATTTGGTCTTTTAGTTATATAAAACATTTAATGGGTCTTAAGTATAAACCACAAAACAGGTACTTCAGAGAAGTATAACTTTCATCCTTGTTCCTACTCCTATAAACTGACATTTTTTTAAAGATTTTATATTTATTCATTTGAGAGAGAGAGCATGAGCAGGAGTGGGAGGATAGGGGAGACAGAGGGAGAGGAAGAAACAGACTCCCTGCAGAGCAGGGAGCCTATGTGGTACTCGATCCTAGGACCCTGGGATCATGACCTGAGCCAAAGGCAGACCCTTAACCGACTAAGCCACCCAGCACCCCTGTAAATTGACATTTTTTGTTCACTTTTTTTGTATCCTCCCATTCTTTCTTTTCAAAAATACTAGAAAATGCATATCTTTCCTATTTCACCCACTTTCTTAACAAAAGGTTGTACACTATAAATATTGTTCCACACCTTGGGTTTTTTGTTTGTTTTTCAGAATAATAGTATATCTTGGAGATCATTCCATAGCTGTGTACTGAGATCCTCCTTGTTCCTTTTCACAGTTGCATAGTCCACCATTATGGGGATTGTGATTGGCAGAATTCTACAGATGATCTCCCCCAAGGCCCTCCCCCTCCCACCCCAGCTGTTCAAACACTAATCTAGGAACCACCGGGAAAGGAATTTGAAGATGTAATTAAATCCCAATTCAATTAGCCTTAAAATATGTAGATTATCCAGGTGAGCCTAATTTCATCAGGTGAAACCATTAAAAGCACCGCATTTTTTTCCCTGCTGATGGCAGAAGGAAATCAAAGACATTTGAAGCATGACGGGGATTCAGGGCATGAAAGGCGTTGCTGCTGAACTCCAGATAGAAGGCAAACAGCCACATTGTGAACTGCTGGTGAAGAGGGACAGCCTCTAGAGGCTGAGAGCAAGCCACAGTTAAGAACCAGTAAGAAAATAAGGACCTTAGTCCCACAGGTGCAAGGAAGTGAATTCTGCCAACAATCAGTGAGCTTGGAAGAGAACCCCAGGCCCCAGCTGCGTATTGCAGTACGAGCCCACACCTTGATATCAAATCTGAGACGTGAGCAGAGGATCTAGCTACATGGTACCCAGACTCCTGACTCATGGAAAATGTCAGATTAATAAATTTGTGTTGTCCTTTTAAAAAGCAAAGCATGAGTAAATGATTCTATTGTTTTTAATTTTATATTTTGAGGAGTAAATGATTTTAAAAGATAGAGGACCACCCTCATCCCCCAAAGGCCAGAACGATAACATGAGGTCAGTTGAAAATTTAGACAAATAAAGTCATGCTCTAAGAATCTATTTAGTACTAAAGAGTTGCATATGTGATTCTGAGTTTCCTAGTGGTTAAAGCAACTAAGGGAACATGATTAGTTACAAGTAGTAATTTTTCTAAGAAATACACGGAAGTGCAGCAGAGAGGTTGAAACGAACTTTCCTCCTCATAGATCCACATAAAGGGCACACTAAATATTATAGTGGACTTTGTCATTATACATATATATATTATATATATATATACTAGAAAATGCATATATCTTTCCTATTTCACTCTCTTCCTTACACAAAAGGTTGTACACTATAAATATTGTTCCACGCCTTGACTGGTTTGTTTTTCTGTTGCTTTTGTTTTTGTTTTTTTCAGAATAATAGTATATCTTGGAGATCATTCCATAGCTGTGTACTGAGATCCTCCTTGTTCCTTTTCACAGCTGCATAGTTCACCATTATAGGGATTAGGGTGTGTGTATATATATATATATATATACATACACAAAAATATATAGTAAGTATATGGTAAGTATAGTATATGGTAATTATAGTATATGGTACACACACACACACACACACACGCTAAGGCTATTTTTATAGTATCTATTGTTATAAGCGGAGGACACAACTCCAAAGCAGACTTTTAAGAAAGTGAATACAATAGGAAGTTAAACGACATAAGCAAACATTCAGACACAAGAATGAGTCTTTGTATATCTGAAACAATGAAAAAATAAACCTGATTACCGGAAAATTGGGATGATGCTGGATTATAGCAGGATTTAAAGCCAGATGCAGGCATTAAAGGAGTCACTTTAGCCAGAAGTCACAAGAAAAAAGCTACACTTAAAAACAAATAGTCTAGCAATGATATCAGGATGGGTTGTCTGATTTGTCTAAGCCCTTCTCGCACTACACACTCATCATATGCAATCTTGGAAAGGAAAAGCTCTCTTAGATTACCAATATGTGGGACAGCCCAAATCCCAGCTGTATTCTTGGCATTCAGCATCATAGAGCAATCCACAGAGGCTCAATATTTGTGGACAGTTCTGTCAATTTCATAGGAAAAGGCTTATATTTTTTCCTACACATTGTTATTTCAGCAAAAAGCATGTTTTTACACCTATTCCATCAATGACAAAGATCATTAACACATAATGGGAGTTGACATTCAGAGTTCTCAAAACCTTCCAATTTTTCTCACTGCGCATATATGGTAATGCTTAGGTGGAACTTTCCTTTTCCCATTTACTTCAGTTGAAACCCCAAAACTATTATTTACTTTTTCCCCTCTGAATGGAATACCACTACTATGCTGGGTGAGAAAATACTTATCACAACATATCAGCCATTAGCCAGGTTGGTTGTTGGCAGAGGAAGTCTCTCCCTAACCCCTTGATAGTGACTGAGAGGCTGTAAATTAAACTGGGTCTCCTTGCCCAAGCAGGACACTGAAGAAAGCC